ATACTTTTTGCCTCCCTATAAATATGGCAAAATTCTATGTGCATTTCATTAGTTTCATTCATCACCTGTCGTCATAGAGATCTCAATACCCACAGGGGTCTCCAAATTTTGTTATGCCATTTGACCACTTTGTGGAAGTCTCCTTCAAATACCCGATACAAACTTGCATATATATATTTCACCATCTTAATGCCATAAAGCAAAGCAGTTAACTCAGCCTGATGTGCTGTGGAAGTACCACAAGGTCCAAAAAAACAACATAGAGCAACACCCTCAAAAAATCTAAGGACTCCCCCAATCCCTTCTGGGGCCAGGATTCCCTAACGAACTACCATAAAAATTAAACTTAATACATCCATATGCTGATGGACTCTATCCTCCTTTAGGTTTGGATAAAGAAGTAGATTGCCATATGATTTCTCTCAAATGAAGTACAACACCCACCTTTAACACTCCATCACCATCCTTAGTAACCGAAAACCATAACCACACTATATGCAGAATCCTATCTTGAACTTGTTCCAACGAAGATACTTTTCCTTCAACTGTTTTTCTATTACATTCCAACCATACCTCCAATAGCAAATCAGATCTAAAGATATTCTGTACGACTTTCCCTCTCTTAGACGATTTTGAAATACAAAGATGCTCCAATATGTGGACATGCCCATGTGGTAATATCAAATGACAACCAACCACAAGAAAGGCCCACCTCTATGGTCGACAAGTGAAAGGACAATAAAGGAACAAGTGATCCCCATACTCTTTTCATTTTTGCATAATAAACCATTGTTCACTGAAAGTTTTCTCCTTCTTCACAGATTGTTGATAATAAGAGCTCTGCCTTACAACTATTCCCAAAGAAATATCTTAACCTTGTGAGTAATAGACCATGTCCAAATTTTATGTATTCTTCTTTCAGTCCATCGAAAGTAGTCATAGAATAACATCCTATTGGCATATTTATTAGAGAAGACTCTGTCACTTTCCTCTTCCCAAACTACTTCATCACCTACATCCCTTGAAATATAGGTTTCTTGCAAATCATTAAGAAGCTCAGTCAATTGAGAATTACTAACATCTGGCATTCTGTTATAGATGCATTTGATGCTCCAATTGCCACCTGAAGCATATCTATCATAAACCTTATTCACTTTCGCCAAAGAGTTGGATACCTTAGAGAAAAGTTGAGAGAAACGATACTTCAATGGCCTTTCCCCAAACCATTTGTGAGACAAAAAATTTACCTTATCTCCATTTCCAACACCCATCGGCTATATTTAACAACTAGACCTCTACAACTGGTAATGTCCTTCTATAGCTATGAGTGAATACGCTTATCCCTTCCACTACTAATAAACTGTGCATTATGTTCCAACCCATATTTAACTGCCAATACTCTTCTCCAAAGTTGCTCTTCATCAACCATAGATCTCCACCACCATTTAGCCAAAAGTGCCCTACTCACCATTAATCCTTCTAATCCCTAGACCTTCCTCCACCTTAAGAGTACAAACTCTATCCCAATTAACCAAATGATAGATTTTCCCCCATCCAAAGACCCTCATAGAAAATTATGAATGTTTCTAAGGTTTTGGTAACATTGTTAGGCATTAACAATAATAACAATTGATAAATAGGCATATTTCCTGAAGAAGAGTTTATAAGAATAGCACAACCACCTGAGAATATGGATTTGGACTTCCATAGATCTAGTTTTACTCGATATCTTTTAATAGTGGAATCCCACACACTCCTAGGCAGCCTATAATAAAAAATTGGTAGCCCATCTTACATCCCACATGAGCTATAATGACAAATAAGTGAGCATTCGAAAAACAACACATAATCCATCTTATCCATTTCAAACCAAACCCAATCCTTCTTATTATCTTACTTAAGATGTCTTATTCCATCCTATCATATGCCTTTTCCATATCAAGTTTAAACAGTAATCTAAGCGCTAGAATGTATAAATTCTTTGCTACTAGAATATTATTTGTAATGAGTGTATTGTAAAAGAAGGCTTATTGTGGCTAGATATAAGCAAAGGCAAAACCTTGGCAATGATCTTGTAGCGGCTAGTCAGAAGGCTAATGGGTCAAAGATCATTGAGACCTACAATGTAGTCCGTTAGTATTACGGCAATGAAGGTTGAGATGATACTCTTATTGACATGGTCATTTTCCATATTTTCCTCCTTCATAGCCAACAAATCATCCTTTATCAGCCCCCAAAAATTATGAAAAAATATGAGAGGCAAGCCATTGGGTCCTGGTGCCTTATCTCCTGACAAAGAGAAAATTGTAGATTTCAATTCCTCTATCGAAATAGGTCTCTTAAGGTCTCTTGCTTCATGTTCACTAAAAGTCTTAAAGAGTACTCTCTCCCCACAAACCCAAAAGGCGTTTTCACAAGAAAAGCCTTCTATTATCTTATTTCCCATCCAACCAGATTATCTTCATCAACATCATCAAATTGAAGCCCTAAAATATCGTTTTTCCTTCTCTTTGCATTCGCCATGGCATGAAAGAACACAATATTATTATCCCCCTCCTTCAGCCATTTTGTCCTGGATCTTTGTTTCCAAAAAATTTTCTCTAGTCTAAACAGTTCATGTAAAAAGTTATTGAGTCTATTCTTTTCCACTTACAACTCTTCCATTAGAACAACATTTTTTTGAATGTCTTGTTCAATCTAAGTAATGTTTTGAATGGAACTCAATTTTTTTTTGAAATAAAATTTAGTACTCTTTTTCCATTGAATAAGCTTGTTTCACATTCATTAGCTTTTTGTGCATTATATGTCCACAAGCTCCAATCACCATAATATTCTGCCAGGTACGTTTAATCAGATTTCTAACATCAACCTCATTAAGCCATACAATGTCCAATCTAAAAGATCTTGGTCCCTGAAAATCATTGGACGTGTTTCTGTATGGAAAATGCCGCTGATGTATGTGTTTTGGTATATTTGAAAGCCCTAGGACATTCAAGGGCATCACCATAAAACTCAATAGCTTAAAAATAGTTATCATAATCACTATGTGGATTGGGCCTGATATTGAAAGATGGACGTAGATTTTATATGGTGTCAACATTATAATGTAGAAGTAAGTGACACTTGAAAAATCTACTTGAAAAGGTTGTTCTGTTATCGAAAATCCTTAGGATGGCGAAAATATATATTTTGACCCTTAATTATTAATTTATACAGTTTAAGGCTCTAAAATGGTATAAATTGAGAAACCTATATGCATTTGAAAATCTTAAAATAGATGGTATAAATACTTATAAGATATGTTGTTTTAGGACTTGAAATTCAATTTTTCTTCTATCCATACATTTTAAGGGCAAGATGATCAATCGTGGGGTTTCTTGACATTGAAACAACTTTTAGAGTGGATTTTTTAGGTGCATCTTAGTTCTAGAGAATTAGGTTGACACCTTATATAAACTTTTTTCTTGAATGAATGTTGAGGTGTAGCAAGGAGAGATATCAGAGGTCGCCCGAATGGGCATAGCAAAAAGTAAACCAAAAGCATACTCCACTACTAAACAAAATAAAGCTTAATTTTGATGAGAGCTCCGTAGAGAATCCAGAGAAAGTTGAGATTAGGGCTATTTGTTAGAGATAAAGAGGGGTTTTGGGGCCTTGTGAAATATGCATAGACAATGAGGTTAAAGTTCTCTCATACAAGATTTGAAACTGATGGAGTACTTAGAAGGGCTACAGAATCGAAGGCGACTCCAATGCAATCAAATGGTCTACAGGATTATATATTGATAATATATAATATATTTTTGTTGTGAATTTTTGATTAATTCAGTATAAAATCCAAAGGTCACACACACATATATCATTTTGCCTTAGAAGTATGTATGCTAACTCCCTTAGGAAAAAGTAATACATGGGAGAAATGTTTTGTCTCGAAAATTGGGATTCACCTAAAAATCACTAGATTATTATTCCAAAACAAAATTTTGATTTTTAGTTCCTGAACATTTGGATCTTGCTCTCCAAAAATTGGACAGTCACTATTCGAGCTTGGCATGTTATTTTTTTCACGCAAATAGATAGTACAATTTGAATTCTTCCTTAAACAAATAGAGAGTACAATTTGAATTCTTCCTCTTTTTTTCTGTGAAGTTTGATCGATAGGTTCAAGAGTTTACAACCTAAAAGATTTGAGGTCTAAAAAATACTCTTTGCATAACTTGTATCCAAGGAAGCAGATGGACAAATATGCCCCACAAGGAGAGAAAATCATTTCGACATGTAGTCCTTCGGGCCTTTCACCTTCAAGCATTGGTTCTAGGGCTGAGAATTTACCCAATTCGAACCCGAAACCCGAATTTTGGATCCTCTGCGGATCCGGGTATTGATCCAAGATTTGGATCCAAATCCTAATAGTAATTCGGATCAGACCTAGGTATATGTAGATCCGATTCAGATCCCACCCAATTTTTAAATTAGTGTATCATATATATATATTAATTAATTTATGATATGTGATTTTTTAAAATTTTAGAAGTCCTAATCTGGATCCCTTTTATAGTTTTTGGATCCAAATAGAATCTAAATCCCATGTATAGTTTTCAGATTCAAATCCCGATCTGAACATTCTAGATCCAATCAGATCCGGATCCAAGCATTCTAAATAGGATCGGATATGAATCCCATATACCATTCAGACCTGAAAAATTCTCACCCTTGGTTCTCCAAATTTTCCCTGAAATGTGGGAACAATATACACAAGAACCTCGTCCTACTCTCAGGCCCTAAGAAAGTAGGGCTAGGATGGCTCGGCCCGAAGCGAGACATAGTACCCTACAAACTCCTCACAAAACAATCATTAGAAGAAAACAAAACCACACAAAAAATATCTAGTTTTCCCCTCAGCCCTGGGGAAAAAGTGCACATTCCAAGAGAATCATTCCAATCCCACCAAACACATATTATCCACAACAAGAGAATCTCAAACCCTAATGGAGGTCATTCTCGCTACATTTCCAACATCCCATGAGAAAAATAGTCATTCTCCCCCTCCATTCAATATATAAACTGAACCCCCAACCCAAATTCACTCCACCAAAAACCTAAAATCCGGTCCCTAGTCTAGCCAAAAAACCCAATGGAACCGTCGAAAAACCCCACTCCAATTCCCCAGCTACTCCCCTCTCCCCTCTTCTACCTCCTCCTCGCCTTAATGACCCTCCTCTTCATTGCAAGGAGTGCCGGAAAACTAGCCGGGAAAAGGAAGCTACCACCAGGTCCGGCGGGCCTTCCCTTTGTGGGTCAGACATTCGCTTTGCTCAAAGCAATGCGTCAGAATCGCGGCGAACAATGGCTGGCTGAAATGGCGGAGAGATACGGGCCGGTCTTCCGGCTAAGTCTCTTCGGGTCGAACGTGGCGGTGCTGAGTGGGGTTAACGGGAACAAGGTGGTGTTCGGGGGCGGGGGCGGGGGTGACGATGTGGTGGGGGCAAAGCAGGCCGAGTGGGCGCTGCGGATATTGGGGAGGAGAAATTTGTTGACACTGGATGGAAATGCCCACAGGAGGGTGAGGGGCGCCATGGGTGTCTTTCTGAAGGGGGACGTTGTAAGGGGGTACGTGGGGAGGATGGGGGAATTGGTGGAGAGGCACCTAGAGAGAGAGTGGAAGGGGAAGGAGACTGTACTGGTCAGTATTTCTTGCATATCATCTTTGTTTTCTAGAGAGAGAGAGAGACGTATGGTGCTATTTCTTGAATGTCATTTTTTAGCGTTCGGTTGAAAAAACCAAGTAATTTCATGCTTTGGCTAATTCGGAGGAAGGCTTCCCACTTGTTTTTTAAAATATAATACAAATAAAGTATATATTATTATATTTATATATAAAAAAAATTATGTATAAAGAGACAATTTATCTTTTGTACATAGATGTCACAATTATTGTCACTTGCTAGATGTCAAATTAGATCTCTTGGAGGTGACTGATGAAGTTTGAGATTTTTATTCGGAACTTTGCGTTACTTCAATGACACTTTTACAACCACCCATTTTGAATTTTAAAGGGCAAGAATGATCGAGACATCTATGTACAAAAGATAAATGGTCTTTGCGTAGACAATCTCATATAAAAATATATTGAAATAAAAAAATTCAAAAAATAGAAAAAAAGAAGAAGAAGAAGACAATTTTGTGCTTTTAGCCAAAAAATTTCAAATCAGACCAAAGCGTATAATTGTATTTAAAAAAGATAATTTTGTGCTGAAGAGGCCGAAGCTTCGATCAAAGAGGCCGAATTAAACTGAAGCAGGACGAAGCGACCCGAAGCATGCTGAAGCTGATGCACCGAAGCTTCGCTTATCTTTGGTGTAGGCCAAAAATCAGAAGACTTCGGCCTCTACGATTGAAGCGAAGCGAATATGATAACATTATGTTTAACTGAGTCCTTTTTTTCCCAGATTCCCCCTCAGTCCGATATTTCTATATTCTTTTTTGTGTACTTTCTCATGAGGTTATCGGCAAGGATTTAAGAGGTTTAGGACCTCGGACCAGAAGTTTTGAACTCTATTGCCATAGGATACTGGTCTGAGGTCTTGAGCCTCAGATTGCTCACTAGACTATGCAGTCTGAGGTTTGGAATATCAGATCATTCCTGAGGTGAGAAAAAATAAATAAAAAGAATATAAAATTGGTCGAATGTTGGCAACATTCAGACAAGAAGCAATTTGAAAATTGCTTTTTTTTTTTTTTTGTAATTTTTCATGAGGTTACCAGCAAGGATTTAAGAGGTTTAGGACCTCGGACCGGTAGTTCTGCACCCTATTGCCATAGGATAGCAGACCGAGGTCTTGGACCTTGGACATCTCACTAGACTAAGCGGTCCGAGGTTTGAGATATCAAATATTTTTGAGGTGAGAAAAAATAAATAAAAAGAATTTCAAATCGGTCCAATGTTGGGGCCAAGAAGCAATTAAAAAAAAAAAAAAAAACGAGGTCATCTTTAATTTTTATAGAAAAATAGAAGCTTTTTATATTGGGTACCGTTTGTATAAAGCCAAAGGGTCTAAACAATCAATGTAAAGCGTACCTTCAAATAGTATCGATAAATGTGGTTTCAATATTGAAAATTTTTGTGATAGTCTTAAAATATATTTTCATCTGTAATTATAAAATTCGAAGCGAAGCACATCTATGAAAACTTAATATCCATAATCTTTTTTCTTATCTAATTTTCTCTTTTTATTTTCCTATCAATACGTAAATAACTCTATAATAAAGAACCTTGCTTTCATAATTGGGAAAAGTTTATATAGAGGCTCTAAACAATCAAATCAAAACCTGCCTCAAAACTTTTACTGGAAAATGTTGTTTTGATGCCCAAATATCATCAAATTGATCATCTCGACCTCAAGATGCGTGGATATGAAAAAAAATAGATTTCAAGTTTTGGAAATCATGTAATTTGTAATACATTTTGGACCGTTAATTTTCAAGATTTTCATACATTTGCTCGATCTATAAGATTTTTGAAGATTTAAATTTTATAAATAAATATGAAAATATATTTTAAGGCTATCCCAAAGATTTCTGATATTAAAACCACATTTCTCAATATTATTTGAAGGTAGGCTCTAATTTGATTGTTTAGAGCCTATGGTCTATACAAAACGGCACCCTTCATAATTCCACCTTCCTCTATCCACACAGCCAAAAAATCCGTACTAGATAATGAAGGATAAGTGAAGTGAAATTTGCCAATCACAAGATATTTGAGGTTCTAAAATATCTCACATAACTTATCCTCCCTCTTTGGTTATCTGGCTCTCCACGTGTTCTAAAGTAGAGGCTGGGTGTGGCCGTACACTTAGTGCACCAACTGTTTGATGGGGTGCAGTTTATTCCATGATAAGATGCGGTCCCTCTCTTTTTGGTGCAACAAGCTGACCCACCTGTTGCTCAAGTGCGATCCATTCCAAAAATCTACAACTTTAGTTACCATGTTGTGATTTTCATTTACCCCACACCACTAATACCTTCAAAAGACCTTCATGAGTCAGCACCTGCAAGAGCCCACTGACTCACCCATGCTTATCTTATAAAGATGAGGTTATAAATACAAAAAAATTTATTTTATTTTTCATATTCATGATCAACTTAACCGAGGTCATGAATCTCTAAAATTTTAAATTAAAAATCCATTCCTAAGATGGTTTAAGAGGGAGCCGACATGTGTATAGTATGAGTCGGCTGACTCATGGAATCCCCTTCTAAAACTAATTCCTAAACTATTTAAAAAAATGGGTAGGGCATGTGTTCCCTGAACCCAAAAAAAAAAAAAAAAAGAAAAGAAAAGAAAAGAAAGAAGAAAATATTTTGAAACTAAGATTCTTTTGGGCTTGTTTGATTTATGAAAGAGGCGTTTTTTGGTTTGATAACGGGGAAGTTTTACAGTAAAGTGGGACTCACTTGCCTTATATTTAAGGCTAGATAGTCAATACCTCCAATTTCAGTCTATGGGGCATCCTAAGACTTAGGAGGACCGTGGAACTTGGGGTATCAAAAAGACGTAGTTTCATCTTCCAGAATTCAAACACGCCCTCACAATCCGTCATTTCAACCACCAAGATGAATATTCAAAAAGAAAGAAGAGATTTTACACTTAAGAAATAGCATCTTCAACTATGTTTTTGATCTATTTTTTAAGTACTCTATTTTTAGAGTTTAACTTTCTGTTCTTAGATTCATGATAATAGTGATCAAATTTATCCATATTTAAGGTTTTAGATCCAAAATTCATCTTTAAGGTAGATTTAGTAAGTGGAGCACATTTTGTAAGTGGAGCACATTTGAATTATTCTATGTGCTTTGTGACCTATGTATGGAAAATTTTAAATACACCTTGTCAAAATTCCATGTTGGGGATAGATTTTGGATCAAAAAATTTCGCGTTGCAGATCTCAGGCACATTTCTATGAATCTCCAAAAAAACAGAGAAAAGGATTTCAAACCCTAAAATATATCAATTTAAAAGATCTAGAAGGAGTAATCCAGAAATTTAATATCATATATTTTTAAGTTTTTTTTTTTTTTCTACATATTCATGATCATGGCAGTAAAAATAAGTGACTTGTTAAAATGGAATTTTGAAATTGACATAACAAAACCCCATCCTTTACGCATGGTAAAAGCGAGGCAGCCATCCCCTCAAAAGAGTATCTTGGAGATGGATTGAGAACAAAGACCTTAAAAATGATTGGATATGACAAAAAAAGGAGAGAAAAAAAAAAAAACCCTTAAAACCTTAAGATTATCTATCTTATTACAACATTTTTCTGGACCATTCATTTGATTTCACAACCGATTTCTTCAATTTGCATCATTTTAAGAGCTTCAAATCTTGTTTTGGATATAAATGGATTTACATGTGTTGAGGATGTGTTTTGAGTCTTCAATCTATGTAAAACCATGGGTCTTGCTGCATAACCTCTCCCATTGTCAAGCAAGATATTGAAATATCTTAAGTATATTGTTGGGCACTCATACCTAATATCCTTTGTCCATACTCATCCACGACACTGGAAAATAGATTATTTTCTACTTTTTGAGGTTGCCTTTCTGCATTACATGCTAGTATTTGAGTTTCCTGAAATTTCTTAGTTCTATTTTTTTTTGTCTTTTATTTTTGTTTCTTTTGTAAGTTAAAGAAAGAGGCTCTCACATTTCTCTCTTGACCCATTTTTAACCCTTAGATTTTGAAAGCATATTTGTGAAGACTACATTGGATCGCCCAATTCGAGTGGCCGGGCTGCTAGCGCTCGACTGGTTTTGGCTCATTGGACCAGCTTTTTTTGGCTTGTGCAATAGCTTAAACAAAGTTGGATTTTATGTTTAAAATTTTTCTATTTATTATTTATTTATTAAAATTTGGCTCATCCGGTCTAAGCAATGGTCATTTGACTGGACTAGATCTCTCAATAATTCAATGGCCAATCTGATCGTCATGTTGAAATAGCATTTGCAAAGATATGATAACTTAACTATAATAATTCATTTTGGATCTCTTGCGGATATTTTCTTTATGTTATCTCTATCTCTTTCCTTGATTTAAATGATGAGGTGTTCTATATAGAATTTTATAGAAGGAAGAGATGATCTTGATTGGTGATGAGAGAGGCCAGAGTATAGGGATCTCGAGAACCCCTTAGCTTGCAAAACCGGAATCCTAAATACCGGGATCCCACCCAAGATCGTGTACTCAATTGGCTAAATATAAAGTAGATGAATACAACTATAAATCGAGTACGATAAATAAAGCAAACATAAAAAACACACCACAACAACACATCCACAGCTTTGGTAATTAGAAATCCACTATCACAATTAAGATTACAGTTTTGGGATCCAAGAGATAATAACTACCTCTAAACATTGGTAAAAACCACTACCGATCTTTCATTCTAAACCTGCTCTCTCGACCGAACAACACCATTGATCAACATCTTCTTTCCCACCGCAATACCCCTACTTGACAGATAACCTCTAGAGCAATATAGAGATTTTCTCTCTCTAAAAGTTGAAGTTAACCAACCTAAAACTCATGGGAATACCGCCCCTTTCTTAGAGGCAATGTCTCTCTCTCTTGGAGACCCATCTCCTTATTGAAGATCCATTCTCATAACCTTCAAAGGGGTAACCCTAAAAAAATGGGTATTATGTCCTTCTCTCTCTTATAAAAATATCACTTTCTTACTTCTAAAGAAAGTCAATTTTCTCTTTCCCATAATACCCTAATATTTAGAAGAAAATATGGTTATGGTGATTTAGCTATCACCAAACCTAACAATGTCCACCTTGATAGTAAAATCGTCATAATTGTCTTGACAACCTTCATTGAATAGATTTCTTGATTTCTTCATACTTGTCTCCATTTTGTCTTCATATTTCTCCATTAAAAATTATAGATATTTTTTTATTTCTTCTCAATTGCCTCCATTGTGGAATTTTCATAAACACTTTGCTTTCATATTTCTCCACCTCAAACCATGTATCCATCAAACTCCACCATTCATCATTTTCTTAAGGCAAGCCTTAGCCCCGTACACACCTTATATTTTGATAGCAATCGTAGGGATCTTGGGAACCCCTTAGCTTGCAGAACTGGGAATCCCAAATATCGGGATCCCACCCAAGATCGGCTACTCAATTAGCCAAATGTAAAGTAGACGAATACAACTATAAATCGAGCACGAGAAATAAAACAAACATAAAAAGCATACCACAACAACACATGATTTAAGTGGTTCATCCCGTAGGATTACATCCACAGCCTTGGCAATTAGAAATCCACTATTACAATGAAGATTACAGTTTTGGGTTACAAGAGATAATAACAATCTCTAAACATCGGTAAAAGACTACCACCGATCTTCCCTTCTAAACCCGCTCTCCCTACCGAACAACACCGTCGATAAACATCCTCTTTCCACCGCAATATCGCTACTGAACAGATAGCCTCGAGAGCAATATAGAGATTTTCTCTCTATCAGAGGTTATGTATCTCTCTTGGAGACTCATCTCCATATTGAAGATCTATTCCCATAACCTCCAAATGGGTAACCCTCAAAAGATGGGTATTAAGTCTTCCTTCACTCTCTTATAAAGATTTCACTTTCTTGCTTCTCAAGAAAGTAATTTTTTATTTCCCATAATACCTAATATTTAGAAAAAACTATGTGTACGGTGATTTAGCTATCACTAAACCCAACACAGAGTGCCCTACCCTAGCTCAAACTTGTGAAACCCTCTTACGCTAAATACTCTCGTCTCTAGGTCACCTACCCCAGACACTCTCTTATAATAGGATTGTTTTGTACTGAATGATACATTTTCTACCACTAATTGTGGCTGATATATGATGAATAGAATAATACAAATAGCAATCAACTTTTAGTCTGGTCTGGGTTTTCCCTCGTTCTTGACCTCAGCGTGTATCATGTTCCCTAGGGGCATGTTGTAGCATGTTTCAAAGGGATTGTGAATTGTATAACCAAGCCCCGCGAGTAGATGGACAAAGGTTCAATCTCCAACACATGCAATGTTGATGCACCAAGTGGTGAGCTGTATTGATTTTTTCGCTCTCCATCTACCTATTGTGCATTATAAAAAAGGGAAATTATATTATTTATACAAAAAAGTTATAGTTTATTTATATATATTAATTTCATGAACGTGGCGAGTTATATGGATTTTTTAGACCTAACACTGTAAACGTCGACACTCATCAGTGAACATGTAACAGTGGACAAAAGTTGATTAACAAATGTCATGTTCGGTAAATTTACCAGAAAAAGGATCATAAATACATAGAGGGTGTGGTTTGTATAGAGCCGAGGCTCTAAACAATCAAATTAGAGCCCACCTTCAAATAGTGTTGAGAATGTGGTTTCAATACTGAATATTTAACTAGCCTTAAAATGTATTTTCATCTTTAATTATAAAATTTAAAGCTTCAAAAATAGGTATAGATCGAGTAGATCTACGAAAAATTAAATAACTTAAAAATCAACAGTTCAAAAATGCATTACAAGATGCATTATTTCAAAAACTTGAGATCCATTTTTTCTCAAATCTATGTATCTTGATGTCGATAAGATCAATTTAAGGATATTTAGGTATAAAAAACAACCTCTTCTAATGAAATTTTTGAAGTTCTATTTGTTTTTTTAGAGCCTAGTTTCTATAGAACCTTTTCCCATACATAAAAAGCCTAGGTTCTATATAAACTTTTCCCATACCTAAAACTTACCAGTGCCACGTCTCTCTTTTTTTGTTCTTGTAATTTTCCCTTTCTATGAATTTTATGTGCATATCTATAATTATGAAAACCTCATTGTTTTCTGGTCTGACGAAAATTTCATGGGAACAAGATTTGTCACTTCAAGTTCAAAGCTTAGCTCAAAACCAGCATCACAGTAATACTAAACTTTATGTGTCTTACAGGCAATGCCATTCATAAAGAGCCTGTCCTTTGACATTATATGCACCCTTCTATATGGCTTAGGGGGCGTTGCCGACCGAGACAGCCTCAAGAAAGACTTCCAAGACCTCATCAAAGGCCTGTGGTCTCTGCCACTGAACTTGCCATTCACACGTTACAGACGCGCATTACAGGCAGCGCGGAGGTTGAGAGCGGCCTTCGCGGAGCTTGTGGTGACAAGGAAGGGGCAGTTGGAGAGAGGGGAGGCCACCGCTTACGATGACCTCCTTACCTGTTTCTTGAGTGCTAAGGGCGAGGAAGAAGGCTTTACTGAGGAAGAGATCGTAGATAATGGAGTGCTTGCCATGGCTGCGGGACATGATACACTCACCTTGCTCATCACTTTCGTGACTCGAGTGCTTGCAGATCCGGATCTCTATGCCAGAGTTTATGCAGGTAAGTTGCTTTTCGTGAATTGGGTTCGGATCCATGTTCTTTGGTGTATTTGATGCCGCAAACTATTGGTATATGTTATACTTCACTCCCATAGGAGCACAATATACTTGCTCTCTGCACCAAAAGCATAGGGTATTTTTTTTAGCGGTTTATGTATGGATATGGTTTGGGAGGCTTTATTACCGTTTGATGACATTTTTCTACTCAAAATATTAAAAATAAATAAAAATCAAGCAAGAGTTGCCCGGTTCTATGACCTAAATCAGAATTGTCTAAATATCTTATAGAACCAGGCAATTCCCACCGAGTCAGAGATTTCAAATTTTGTGGAAACCAAGTGGGGTACGTACTTAATCGATTCCAAATCGCCGATGCTCAATCCAAATCATTAATTTTCCAGAGCACTGTTCCATCATACTTCTGTTTTGGTGGTTGCAGAACAATCAGAGATAGCAAATGGCAAAGGCCATGATGAACCTCTCAATTGGGAAGACCTAACCAAGATGAAGTACACATGGAGAGTTGCACAAGAGACATTGAGGCTGTATCCACCAATTTTTGGAAGCTACAGGAGAATCCTCAAAGACTTCGAGTACGCTGGTTATCATATTCCCAAGGGATGGCAGGTGAGCTTCAGACCATGTTTTTCTCTATCTTTTAGACATATTTTACACACATCATACACATACTCTATAAGAAAAACTAAAGGAAAAATGGTTTGATAGCGCCGCAGCTCTATCAACATAAGTAAATCCTCACCTTGAAACTTATCGAAGATTGCAACTCTGGCGTCAGAAAATCTTCAAGTAGCTCATCTTAGCCTTGATCATTATAGTTAAAAAAATGATTTCAAGCCCTAAAAATAGTGTATATTTTGTGAAGAGTATCAGGTTTTTCTGAAGAGAATCAATGTCCATTAATTAACATGAATATACAAACTTGTCTTATATAAACAAATACATATGACAAGAATAGAGATAAATTATATACTATACTCAGACTTATCATAAATACACGATATTGTATCTACCTTTTCCAAACATACAGATTACCAGTTATACCTTCCATATTAACCTGATACACAATATATACTTTCCTTTAACATATTTTAACACATTATCTAAACCACCCATTTTGCTCTAAAAATAAGGGTTCACATATCAACAAGTTTTGTATGATTTTTTTAGGTTCAAATTTTTTAGTCTATATTGAAAATTGATTTTAGAGCGCCATCATGGAGATTTTCGAAATGTGCTTTTGGATGAGTATTTAAGGTGAGGTTTTACTTTGTTTTCATAAAGCCTAGCTCTTATAGAAACCGCACACAAAAATTAAATTATACATGTTTGACTCCTTTCCCACAATTCACTCAACACCAGATGCTCCATAGCGAACATACTTAACACTTATTCTCTATGAAAGAAAAAACTTTGGGATCTACTTAAAAATCGTCATGCGTTTATTTTCATAGATAGTTGAATTTTGAATGAGTAAAGGAGAGGAAAAAAAAAGAAAAAAAACACTAACGAAATAGTTTTGATTTTTGATCCTATGGTTGATTCAGATACTATGGGTCTCTTCTCTGACACACATGAACAAGGACTTCTTCCCAGAGCCCTCAAAATTTGAACCGGCACGCTTCGACAACCAATCGTCGATCATCCCGTATAGCTTTGTGGGCTTCGGCGCGGGCCCACGAATATGCATAGGGCAAGAGTTTGCTAAGGTGGAGACGCTTGTTACCATCCATTACATGGTTACCCATTTTTCATGGAAACTGGCATGCCCTGATGAAACTGTGGCTAGGGTGCCAGTGCTCACTCTCTCTAAGGGCTTGCCCATACATCTTCTGCCTCACAAAATATAGAATGTATTTTGAGTTTAATTCGTTCAAAAATAAAATTAAGGGAAGCTAGCATGTCTGAACTGCAAAATCAGGTTGAATTTTATTTTCTTAGAGATTATACTAGCATGTAAAAATGTTTTCATAGAGACAAATCTGTATCTTTATCAGCCGCCCTTTAAGCTTAAGTGGCTAGCCAAAGAAAAGTAGTAGGACTCAAGAGGGAAGAAAGGGACAATAATGTAATAACGAGAATTATTTGGGCTTTATTTTTTTATTGCACCTGTTATTTCTTTATTTCATTAGGGGCAAGTTCATTCGTTTATATATTTAAGTTAAAAATGCGTGGCTATAATTAAATAGGATGGATGGTCAGGATTTCGTAGGAGTTTTTTAGAGTTATCAGTTATGTAATGTCACGCCCCAAGAATTTATAATACTGATATTCTTGAGATGTGACAGTCAAAACATACATACATCTCTTGATAGGACAAATTTACAGTGGCGAATTCTTACAAAGTAACAAAAGAAAGTTTAAACACAACTACAATATCTTTCATAGTTCATCCTGACAAGCACTCAAAATGAAACCGTAGTTATCCTGAAAAAAAATTTTACCATAATTTGATGAGTTTGGCTACTCAGTAAGTAATCATCATAATCCTAAAAATAATCATGGTTGAAAGATATCAATATTTTCAAAAAGGAGATATATTAACGGAAATGCATTAACAGTTTCACTTTAAAAAATGCATAATTAAGTATAATTCGAATAATTGAAATGCATATAACATTTTTACGGCAGTGCATAATTCAAAGGATTTCACAAATTACCCTACTAGTGTCCCAAGTAGGTCACCTATATACTCCATCACCGTCCTGATGGTCTACTTAATTCCTATCGGCGTCCCAGATAGGTCCACTTAATCCTTGCCGGTCCACTTATACCTCACTGAT